CTGGAGCGGCCGTCTCCGTAGTCGCTCCGCTGGTACCTCGCCGCTGCACTCTCGTCGTCGACTCCCTCTCTCCCCACAGCAGCTGCGTGAGTGGTACGTTGGCCGTCAGGGGCGCACTGCTGGAGCTAGGGGCCCTGTTGCGGGAGGCGCTGGAGCTGGTGACTCTGCTACTGGAGTTGTTTCTGCTGGAGGTTCTGGAGCTGCTGAGGGTGCTGGAGCTAGAGGTTGTAGAGCTGCTGAGGGTGCTGGCGCTGGAGGTTCTGGAGCTGCTGCGGGTGCTGGCACTGAGGGTTCTGAGTCTGCTGTTGCACGGTCTCCTTGGAGTAGCCGACTTCGTCCGCGTGTGCCTCTCACCTCACAGCAGCTGCACGACTGGTACGGTCGCCGTCAGGGTCGCGCTTCTGGAGCTCGGGGCTCTGCCGCTGGAGGTACTTCTGCTGACGTCACTGGAGCTGGGATTGGTGCTGGTCCCGGAGGTGCTCGTACTGGAGGTACTGGAGCTACTGAGGCTGGAGGTGCTGAGCTTGAGGGTGCTGCTGCTGGAGACACTGAGGCTAGAGACCCTGAGACTGGAGGTGCCGGTTCTAGGGGTGCTGCTGCTGGTGGAGCTGGTCCTGGAGGAGCTGGAGCTGAGGGTTCTGGAGCTGCTGGAGGTGCTGGGACTGTTGGGGGTGCTGGAGCTGCTGGTGCTGGTAGCACTGCACAGCCGCGCCTGTTCTTTGCTCCACCGTCTCCGTCGTCTCAGCCACCGCCTGACTCTGTGCTTCGACAGGTTCTTAGTCTCCCTTCGTCTACTGGTCTTCCGTTACAGCCTGGCTCACCGCTGCCTGCTCCTTCTCCTTACACTGAGCAGACAGGGGGTCTTACTGAGCGTCGTGAGCCTGCGTCGCGTCCTGTCTCGCCTGTCCGTTCTGGTCGTTCCGGTCGTCGTGTTCCTTGTTCGTGTCAGCCGGCTGTCCCCGGAACCCACCTTGTAGTCCGTCGTCCTTCCTCTCCTCCGCAGAGTGTTCCCCTGCCGTCCCCTCCTGCGTCTTCTCTGCCTACCGTTCCTGAGCCTGAGTCTGACGGCGCTCGTGCTGCTCATCCTACTGTCACGCGTCTGCTAGCCACAGTTGTCACTGACCCGTCGTTTGAGTCTACTGCTGCGTCTGCCTTAGTCGCTGAACTTGTTGACTTTGCTGCTGCCTGACGTCTAGACTACGCCGCTAGTCTTGTTGCTGAGTCTGAGTGTGTCTGTCCTCCGTCTGTCGGGGGTGAGTGTGCTCTTGGCACGGACGTCCTTGAGGACAGGCAGGAGGACCTTGAGTGTCTTGCAGCCGCTGCGCCTCATCTCGTGTCCATGCTGCTTGCCCCTGAGGGAGACCCGGATGCTCCAGACATCCCGACCCCGCGCTCTTACGCTGAGGCGATCGTGGGTGAGTACTCCTCTCAGTGGCAGACAGCCATGGACGCAGAGATGGCATCCTGGAAGTCCACAGGCACCTACGTCGACGAGGTTCCCCCTCCTGGGGCGAACATCGTCAGTGGCATGTGGATTTTCAGGGTGAAGCGGCCGCCAGGTTCTCCGCCTGTCTTCAAGGCTCGTTACGTTGCTCGAGGTTTCAGTCAGCGAGAGGGAGTTGACTTCTTCCATACCTTCTCCCCCACCCCGAAGATGACCACTCTTCGGGTGCTGCTGCACGTTGCCGCTCAGCGTGACTACGAGCTTCACTCTCTTGACTTCAGCACAGCTTTTTTGCAGGGCAGCCTGCACGAGGAGATCTGGCTGCGCCGCCCGCCTGGCTTCACTGGGTCGTTCCCTTCTGGTACCCAGTGGAGCCTCCGGCGGCCGGTCTACGGTCTCCGCCAGGCGCCACGTGAGTGGCACGACACACTGAGGACGACACTTGCAGCTCTTGGGTTTGCTCCGTCGACTGCTGACCCGTCGCTGTTTCTGCGCACCGACACTTCGCTGCCGCCGTTCTACATCCTCGTGTACGTCGACGACTTGGTCTTTGCCACTGCTGACACTGAGTCTCTCGCCCTGGTGAAGTCGGAGCTGCAGAAGAGACACACGTGCACAGACCTGGGTGAACTGCGCAGCTACCTTGGCTTGCAGATCAACCGGGACAGAGCACGCCGCACCATCACACTGACTCAGTCACACATGGTGCAGCAGGTCCTTCAGCGCTTCGGCTTCACCTGGTCCTCAGCACAGGCCTCTCCTCTTGCTACAGGTCACTCGCTCTCAGCTCCACCTTCGGACGAGTCCGTAGAGCCGAGTGGTCCTTACCCAGAGCTAGTGGGCTGCCTCATGTACCTGATGACCTGCACTCGTCCTGACCTTGCGTACCCTCTTGGCCTTCTGGCTCGCTACGTGGCTCCTGGTCGGCACCGAAAGGTGCACATGGATGCTGCTAAGAGGATATTGCGCTACTTGTGCAGTACATCAGGCATGGGGCTCATGCTTGGAGGACGGGGCGACGTTGTCCTCACTGGTCACTCGGACGCTTCTTGGGTTGACGACCAGGCTACGCAGCGGTCGTCACAGGGTTACACCTTCAGCCTTGGCTCTGGTTCAGTTTCTTGGCGTTCTACACGCTCGTCTTCAGTTCTCAGCTCCAGTTGTGAGGCTGAGATCTACGCTGGGGCCATGGCTGCACAGGAGTTACGCTGGCTCACCTACCTGCTGACCGACTTGGGAGAGCGGCCTCGTTCTCCTCCAGTGCTGTACGTCGACAACAAGGCCGCCATTGCCTTGTGTCAGGAGCACAGACTGGAGCACAGAACGAAGCACATCGCTCTGCGTTACTTCTTGGCTCGAGAGTTGCAGCAGCGTGGTCAGCTTCGTCTTGCACACGTGGCCACTCGGGCCAACACTGCTGATATATTCACCAAGGCACTTCCGTCTGGTGATCATCAGCGTTTCTGCACTTTGTTAGGCTTTGTGCCCACTTTTCCTCACTTTCTGTAGACTTTACTTATACTGTGATCTATATATATTCATGCATGCTTGCTCTGCTAAGTAGAGATCACTGATCACTGTACTATTGTTGTTGCATATATACCTCTGCACGTGGACTGGCCTTGTGGCCCTTTGCTTGTGCTCAGTGCGTGTGGTGACGTTGTGATCCCCCCTGAGCTTGCTTTGCTTCTCTTGACTGGTCTTGTGACCCCTTACTCTCCCCCACTTTGCCTATGGGGGTGTGTCAAATTATATGCATATGTCATAATAGAATGTAGGCTTTAGTGGCGTAGTTAATGTAGGGTATAGTTTTTGTCACTTGTACCCAACTTTCTCGATAGTGCACCAACTTTTTCCTTTACTCTCGACAACAGTAACACCACACTTCGAAACACACATCCCACAAACACGAATGAAAACGCACGTAAAAATTTTACAACACCACGTAACGGTTGTGAACGCATCGAAGTGCAACACCACAGTGAAACAAACACAACAAACAGACACGAACACACACGAAAACAAGCACAGATAGACACAGATACCGTAATAAACACATTACCGTCAAGAATAAAATTCAGAAATGCATAAATAATTGCTAGCCTATCCCACCTTACCCTCCCTACAACCCTCCCTCCCTCCTTCCCTCATCTCCATCCCACTCCCTCATCTCCCTTCTCAGCTCACGCATGCGCCCTGCACAAAGCAAAATCAGAGAAGTCAACACACACACGCCCAGGCAAAACCAGGGAAGTCAACACACACACGCCCAGGCAAAAACAGGGAAGTCAACACACACACGCCCTGCACAAAGTTAGAACATGGAAGTCAACACACACATGCCCAGCACAAAGTTAAAACAGGGAAGTCAACACACACATGGCCTGCACAAGAAAGCAAGAACAAAGAAAGCAAAACACACCTTGCACAAAAAGCAGTGTATGCTCACACACTGTGTACAAGAAAGCAAAAATAGGATACTGCAACACACGTGCTCTTACAGGAGGCCAAGCAAGAAATACAAATCACCCTCCCTCACATGCATTGCACAAGGCGTCAACGCATAGCAGAAAGGCGCCAGTGCAATGCAGTGCACGAGTGTTTTGTTCAATCACAAGGCTTAGAGGCGCCGATGAGCTCCAGAAAGGCGCCAGCGCGCGGCAACGCACCCGCCCGCCTTAAGCAGTAAGCGTCCCAGGGTTGGTGGCTAGGCGTCCAAGGCCATGACCCTAGCGCTTCAGGTACGAGCTCCACAGGGCTCAGCACACTAGGTGCCAGCGCCCAAGCGTTAGAGCCCGCTGCGCGAGCGTGCTAGGCACTAGCTCACTAGTTGCCAGCAATCTAGACGAGCGTCTGCGGCGCCAACACCTTAGAAGCCGGCACTCTAAGCGCCAGCGCAGAAAGCGACACTCATTTGCATAAGTAGCCCCAATTGCCCAAGCACCAGCAGGATAGATGCTAGAGCTTACGTCCTAGCGTGCTCATGCGCTCTCTCACGCTCACCCTCACGCACTCCCTCACGCACTCCCTCGCGCGCACTCTCACGCGCACTCTCACGCGCGCGCGCTCTCTCATGGGCTCTCTCATGCTCTCTCTCACGCGCATGCGCTCTCTCAAGCGCTCTCTCAAGCGCCCTCTCACGCGCTCTCTCACGCGCTCTCTCACGCGCTCTCTCACGCTCACTCTCACGCGCTCTCACGGGCTCACTCACGCGCTCTCACGGGCTTACTCACGCGCCCTCTCATGCACTCTCTCACGCGCTCTTTCATGCGTCGATCACGCGCTCTCTCACGCGCTCTTTCATGCGATTTCTCACGTGCTCTCTCTCACGCGCTCTCACGCACTCCCTCACGCGCTCCCTCGCGCGCACTCTCACGCGCACGCGCTCTCTCATGGGCTCTCTCACGCTCTCTCTCACGCGCTCTCTCACTCGCACTCTCGTGCGCTCTCGCACGCGCTCTCTCACGCGCTCTCTCAAGAGCTCTTTCATGCGTCTCTCACGCGCTCTCTCACGCGCTCTTTCATGCTATTTTCTCACGTGCTCTCTCTCACGCACTCACTCACGCGCACTCTCATGCGCTCTCTCACGCGCACTCTCACGCGCACTCTCACGCGCACTCTCACGCGCACTCTCACGCGCACTCTCACGCGCACTCTCACGCGCACTCTCACGCGCACTCTCTCGCGCACTCTCTCGCGCACTCTCTCGCGCACTCTCCTGCGCGTTCGCTCCCGTGCACTCACTCTCCCTCGCGCTCCGTCTCTCCCCTTCTTCAAATGAAATTTCAATGCAAGAGGAGACCAATCGACACAATATTTACGAAGAGAGAAAAAAACATTTGAAGAAGGGAAAATTTTGGAGGGGGGAGGGAGGATGAAAGGACCGGGATCGCACCTGATAATCACGGTGCCTCAGAAAACAACCCGCGCTGGCGCACCAACTCGCGCTTGCGCTCGTGCACCTGTCGCCGGAGGCGACGGCGGGGAGGGAATGAGAGGCGACGGCGGGGAGGGAAGGAGAGGCGACGGCGGGGAGGGAAGGAGAGGCGACGGCGGGGACGGAAGGAGAGGCGACGGCGGGGAGGGAAGGAGAGGCGACGGCGGGGAGGGAAGGAGAGGCGACGGCGGAGGGAAGGAGAGGCGACGGCGGGGAGGAGGGAGAGGCGACGGCGGGGAGGAAGGAGAGGCGGCGGCGGGATAGGAGGGAGTGGCAGCGGCGGGATGGGAGAAGAGGCGGCGGCGGGATAAGAGAGGGTGTGGCGACGGCGGGGTGGGAGGGAGTGGCGATGGCGGGATGGGAGGGAGTGGCGATGGCGGGGAGTGAGAGGGAGGCGACAGGGGGGTGGGAGTGAGAGGCGACGACGGGGTGAGAGGTGGCGGTGGGATGGGAGGGTATGGCGACGGCGGGGTAGGAGGGAGGGGCGACTGCGGGATAAGAGGGAGAGGCGACGGCTGGGTGATAGTAAAACGCGATAGCTGGATGATAGCTAGACAGCAGGATGGGCGATGGTGGGTTGGGAGAAAATGGCCGAGAGAGCAAGAGGAATTCTAGGAACCAAGAGTCACAGCAGCAAGAAAATTAGTGGTTGGGAATGTGTGGCGCTGGCAGACAATTTTATGCCCGAGCAAAACGAGGCAAGAAACGATTTTTAAAATAAGCGTATAGCGTTATGACGATGAGGTGAATTGCAAGATAAATTCGCGGGCGAATTTAATCAGAACCTGGGCACATGACAATAATTTGAAAAAATAAAACGTGACAACACACACACACAACCACGCAGTCCTACACATCAGAGTTAGCCGCAAATAAACAAACCCAGTACGAGTACTGTGATATTGAAAGTAATAATATTATTATAAAAAAAATATCAATCTCTAAATCGTTGCCCATTAACTAACACCCAATCGCTAGAGAAGAATTTTAATCGTATATTTTTTAATGAGGAAATTATAAGCCTGCTATAAATAGGAAGAACATGGTTTGTTGCATTATACAGAATATAGTGTCTTTTTATATCTTCATGCTAGAATAATAATGCATACGCAACCCTTCCGACGTTAACGTCGAGTCTTGTTTCAGTACACGCTGAAATAGCTAACAGATTTTCAATGAACTAGAAAGAATCTGGCGGTTGAAAAAAAGTGTACCAGATGATTTGCAAAAGCTCAGCCCTTCCCAGCTTGTGTTTTCTCAATCATTATGCTTTGGTATTTTATTCTCAGCAGCTGAATCTCATAACCATTCTATCACACTTTACACCAAGCTATTGTTTCTGTCGGCGAGCTTCACCAAACACTACTAGTAGAAAGGGCGGATTTAGGTACAAAGCAACACATTATTGCTGAGGCTGCAGATTGAGTGCATTCATACCGCAGTTCTGTGGGCAAGCCAGAAAAGTAAGTACAGGACAAGACAAGTTACACCTGAATGCGTTTGTAACCCTTGCACACTCAAACACCATGCGCCAGCTGCCCCTGCATGGCCTTCTGCACACGCTGTCTGAACGGCTCCACTGCAACAAGAAGGGTAGCAGCCCTTGTCCTCTTCTGCTGATCCCGCTCACCTTGCTCTGACGCTCTCCCGTCTGCCCCCTTCTGAGAACCCAATACATCCTCATTCTCACACCCCTCCATTGCCTCTCCCTCACTCCCGTCCAGTGTCTCACCCTCGTGCAATGGTTCCATTCTCGCAAATGTAACAGCCCTCGCACCCGCCACCTCATGCAGCATCCCACGCTCTTTCCCCTGCTGCCGCCCCGGCTGCCCCATGTAAACATCCTGCTGGCTCTCACACCCCTCCTCCTCCTGCCTTTCCACCAGGCTGTGCATCACTGGTGGCACTCCAAGGGTCGCATCAGGCAGGAGGACAGGGCAGCTCCATGCCACACCCAGGTGCCCCCCCACTCCCCTCTCCCCCTCAAATTCCTCCGCCTCCTCCCCCTCCTCTTCATATTCCAACCCGGAAGACTTGCACTCCGAGACAAACCTCGGCATTTCTTCCAGCCTGCCCTCCGCACTGTACGGATTCCACAGCACGCCACCACCTGAAGTTTCACCCGAAGATCCACCTGAAGCCTTTTGGCGTCCCTGAGGGCTGCCAGAGGGCGAGTCGTCACCAATGGCGTCACCAATGGCGTCACCAAAGGCGTCACCAATGGCGTCACCAATGCCACTGAAGCAACGTAGCTCGAGAGCACTCCCGCCACTGCTGCTCGTGCCATTGTCTCCTCCGCCATCCTTTCTCCCATCCACCATCAAGTCGTGCTGGCTCGATACCCTGCTGTCCCCACACACATCATCCCTCACCTCCACCGGCGCGCCTTGAGATGCCTCAGAAGGAGCCTCAGAAGGAGCCTCAAAAGGAGCTTCAATAGGCCCCTCAACTCCCCCAGAGAGGCTCTCCTTCTTGCGGCCGCTACCCCACGACCTGAACCCCCACGCCCTCAGCCTGCTGCCGCTCCTGCCATGCCTCTGTCTGCTCTCTGACAGTGCCCTTGGCACCAACGTTGCCTGCAACTCCCCCCCGCTGCCCGTTTGAGCAGTAGAAGCGTTGTCGCCGCTGCTGCTCCTGGCTAACCCAAACACTCCCCGCCGAATCCTGCTCACCCGGCTTCCATTCTCCTTAGACTTGCCGTACTTGCTAAGAGCAGGCCCAATACCATCGACAGTGTGCCTCCTGCTATGCAACCCACCCACAGGTACACCAGAGGAGCTCTCTCCTTGCTCCCCGCCGTTCAATATCACATCATCGATCCCTCCTCCCGCTGCTGCTCCGCCCTCCACCCCCCCACTCCCTGTCTCATGCAGGCTTCTACTCCCTCTCCCATTCACATCCCCGCCATTCAAATCCCCGCCATTCACATCCCCGCCATTCAAATCCCCGCCATTCACATCCCCGCCATTCAAATCCCCGCCATTCACATCCCCGCCATTCAAATCCCCGCCATTCACATCCCCGCCATTCAAATCCCCGCCACTCAAATCCCCGCCACCCAAATCCCCGCCACTCAAATCCCCGCCACTCAAATCCCCGCCACCCAAATCTGCGCCACTCAAATCCCCGCCACTCAAATCCCCGCCACTCAAATCCTCGCCGCTCGAATCCCTCGCACTCAAATCCCTGCCACTCGATCCCCCGCCACTCAAATCGCTCCCACCCAATTCTCTGCCACTCAAACCGCTCAAACCATCCAGAATTCTACCGCTCAGGCTCCGTCTAGCCGCCTCCATAATGCTCCTCTTCCGCGCACCCCTGGACCGGCTCCTCCACCCCCCCAGCTGCTCCTTCTCTGCCGCTTCCCACACGTCCTTCGGCCCGTCCGAAGCCACCGGCGCCAGCGAGTCGCTGTGCGTGTTCCGCCGAAGTACACTCTTCCACGAGGAGAAACCCGAATAACGCCCGGAAGAGAAGCCCCTGGTGGGAACCAAGGGGCCGCTGGAGGGGAAACTGGAGGGGAAGGCAGAGAGCTTTCTCAGGAGGTCCCGAGGAGAGAGGAGCGTGCGGTGGCGGGGTAAGGGGAGGCGGGGGCTGCTGCTGCCGAATCGAGTGCGAGGGGGCTGTGTGAATAGGCTGCCATGGTTCTCGCTCACTGATTGACGCAGCTGTTGTTGCCCCTGCTGCTGCTGCTGCCCCTGCTGCTGCTGCCCCGGCTGCTGCCATTCCTGCTCCCCTTGCCTTTCCCCATGCTGCTCTTGCTGCTGCCATGGCTTGGAACTATAGCTTCCCCTTTCCTCCAAGTTAGATGTCTTGTCAGGTGTCTTGGGCCCAAACAACGTGCCGCTGGTCACAGGCAGGGGCGGCTGTTGAGAGCTCTCAAACGTCTTGCCTGCAGTCTTGGGAGGAGCGGGTGGAGTGTTGGCCCCACGCAGGGGCGACCGCACAGCGGTCTTCCAAGTGAGAGCCCATTTGGGGAAGGCGGATGCGGCTGACAGGTCGTTGACAGAAACCGACGGTCTGAAGAGGTTTCGCGTGGTGGTGGGCGGTTCTGAGCTGTGGAGGGAGGTGGTGCAACGAGCAGGAGCAGGAGGAGGAGAAGGAGAAGAGGCAGGAGGAGGAGAAGGAGTAGGAGCAGTGGCAGGAGTAGGGGCAAGAGCAGGGACCACAACAGCAACTGCATCAGCAGGAGGGCGAGCAGGAGCAGGAGAAGAAGCAGGAGAAGGAGGAGAGGCAACAACAGGCGCATCAGTAGCACGGTCAGCATCAGCAGGAGGCGAAGGAGCAGGAGGAACAGGAGGAGCAGGAGGAACAGGAGGAGCAGCACCGGAAGCAGCAGCAGTGGCAGTAGCAACGGTTGTAGCAGCAACAGGGGTAGTAACAACAACTGTAGCAGCAGACAAGCCTTCAGGTCCTTCAGGTGAAACTGCAGGGGCTTCAGGTGTACCCACAGCCTCTTCAGGTGAGCGCTCAGGTGCTTCAGGTGATCCATTGATTGCAGGTCCCTCAAATTCAGATGAGCCCTCTGGTGCGTCAGGTGACCGATCAGGTTCTCCAGGTGAAGCTTCAGGTAGTTCAGGTGAACTTTGAGGTGCTTCAGCTGCACTACCAGGTGCATCAGGTGAATTCTCAGGTACTGGTGAAGGACCTTCGACAGGCAGCACAGGGAGGGCAGCGGGCATAGCAGCAGGATTGCAGGCGGTGTGTGTGGGCGTTCCTACAGCATGTGTGACAATAGCAGGTGTGGGAAGGGCAGGCGTGGGAATGCCAGATGCGGGACTGGCAGGTGCGGGAAACTCAGGTGTGGGAATCTCAGGTGTGGGAATCTCAGGTGTGGGAACTTCAGGTGTGGGAATGAGAAGTGTGTGAACAGCAGCAGGGGCTTGTGGTTCCAAGGCACACGGTGCATTCAGCATGCCTCGCTCTAAAGGTGCCTCCACGCATTCTCCCCTCGGTACTGCTTCGACCAAAACTGTGCCAATCCCTGCTGTGTCGATCCCTGCCGTGTCAAGCCCTGCTGCATCAGTGCTATTAACAGCACCAACCCCACCATCCAAACCACTACCACCCGTGCTCCTCCTCCTCCTACCTTCTCCCGCCAACGGAAACTCGCCACTCAATCCCCACCCCACACCCCCTACCTCTCCTCCCCTCCCTGCACTGCTCTTCCCCAGCTGCCTCCGCCTCACAATAAACCCCTGCCCCCCCTGCTCTCCCTGCGAGTGCTGCTGAGAATTCTCCAAACCACTCTGCCCTTCCAACCACTCCACAGCCTTCTCAAAATCCTCAAACCCCTGTCCCACTCTGCATGCTCCGTGTTGCCTCCCACCGCTGCTCCTTGGCCGGCTTTGAGTGTCAACAGTTTCAGACCGCTTCAAACCCTGCCCCACTCCTTCTCCCTGCCCCGCGCCATCTGCTCCCCGTTCCCTCCCTCCACTGCTCTTCGGCCGACTTAGAGCGTCAAGTGTCTCAGAGCGCTTCACATGCTTCCCCACTCCCCCTCCTCCCTGCCCCACCCTATCCGCCCCGCGTTCCCTCCCCCCGCTGCTCTTCGGCCGGGTCTGAGTGTGACCCGTCTCAGTACCGCTGCTCTTCATGCGCTGCCTGGATCCAGCAGGAGGGAGGGGCCAGATGGGCTCATACAGTGTATCAGTGTCAGGGATCGGTGGTGCGAGAGTGAAATCAGAGGGCTTGAGAGAGGGAGTGAGAGGCCAGAGAAGGGTGTATGGTGGCACGGTTCCTGTGCTCACGGGCGTGTGGACGGGCTGGGAAGGCCTGTGAGAGGGCGTGAGGGACCAGATGGGCTCATATTGTGCCCCAGTTGCTGTTGGTGTGCTCAGGGGCGACTTTTGAGGCGGCTCGAAAGTGCCTGTGCTCTTGGGCATGTGGGATGGCTCGGCTGATTCAACAGAGCGATTCTCATTGTGCTTCTTCGAGTCGACGGCTTTGCTGCGCTTCTTGGTGCTTGGAGGTGTGAGCACCAGCAGGTGCTGGTCCTCGGAAGCAGTAGCAGCAGCACCAGCAGTTGCTGCTGCAGCAGCAGAATTACCAGCATCCTCGTTAGAAGCAGTCGCGGAGTACGGTACAACGAGGGGGGAGCATAAGGGATTGAGGACCAGCTTGAGAGTGCGGGAGGAGAGGAGCTTGCGCGAATACCCGCCAGCCGTTGCTTTCTGAGTCAAGTCACAAGTCACCTCGGGTGCAAGAGGTGCAGCAGGCGCAGCAGGCGCAGTGGATGGGGTGGAATTGGGTGGACTTGGCCCCACACTCTCCTCCGATAGCTCTTCAGCCCCGGATGCTGCTGCTGGTGATTCTTCTTCTTCTGCTGCTTCTGCTGCTGCTGCTGTTGGTGATTCTGCTGCTGATGCTGCTGCTAGTTCTGCTGCTGCTGCTGCTCCACCACTCACACTCTCATCGCCATCCTCATAGCGTCTTTGGGGCTCCACACACTCTTTGACTGCCTCCGCCCCTCGCCCCGCCTCGGTTTCCTCCCTGTGAAACCAAAGCTCCTCCGCTTTCTCCCCATAACCTTTCTCCCCATAACCTTTCTCCCCATAACCTTTCTCCCCATAACCTTTCTCACCTCCCTCTGCTTCCCTCTCCTCCCTCTCCCCCCTCCCCTCCCTCTCTTCCTCCTCCCATTCACCCCTTTCACCCTCACAGACCTCCCCACACTCCCCGCTCACATTGCCACCTCTTTCCGCCTCATCAAGACGGGAAACTTCCTCGTAACCTCTACGTCCAACGCGCCCTTCAGCCGGCTCCTGAGAGAGTGCGGCAACAGGCTCTGCTGCTCCATCTCCCCTGCTCTCCACTGACTTTTGAGCCGTTTCAGAATTCTCCACGCTCCCTTCAAGCTGCGCCAGAGGGGCCTCAGGAACTAGCCGTGCTGCTCCATCCCCCCTGCTCTCCGCTCCAATCTCCTTCACCACCGCCTTTTCTTCTTCCTCCTCCTCCTCCTCTTCCCCTTCTGCTTCCTCTCCTTCCTCCTCCTCCCAATCCTCCTCTTCACTCTCCTCCTCCCCATCTATATCAACCCACTCAGACCAGCCTCCCTCCTCCCCTCTCTCCCTTCGCAGCACCATCATATCCCGTACCTCGTTCCATATCCCCCGCCCCCTCTCACTCTCACCCTCCCCCTCCCCTCCGCCCCTCCCCTCCCTCAGCCTCATACTACCCTCCCAACCCCCCTCACCGCTCTCCCCCAAGCCGATTTCCCCCCTTCCCCTCTCGCCACTTGCCTTTTCCAGGTTGCCCCCTTCGCCACTTCTCCCTTCAGCGTTTTCCCCCTCAGCGCTTCCCCCCTCGGCGTTCCCCCGCCCTACACTCCCCGCCCATCTGCCCAGCTGGTTCTTCTCCGCGGCCTCCCCCTCCGCGCTCCCCCTCTCCGCGCTCCCCCTCTCCGCGCTCCCCCTCTCCGCGCTCCCCCTCTCCGCGCTCCCCCTCTCCACGCTCCCCACACACCGCACGAGCTGGTTCTTCTCCGCGGCCTCCCACACGTCTCTTCCCATGGACAGCACCCCACCTGCCAAGTCACTTGCGCCGCTTCCGCCACTCGCCTGCCGTTTCGCCTGCTTGCGCGCCTCGTACAGCCTGCGCGCGCCTGCGCGGATCCCGAACAGCCCCTCGCGCGCAGCGCCGGCGGTGGGGGTGGTGGAGCTGCTGGGGAATGAGCTCCTGGGGGTGGCGGAAGCAGCGGAAGCGGCGGCGGGGGAGGGGGGAGCGGCATTGAGATCCCAATCGACCGTCGCGCCGGCGCTCGTGCCTCGTCTGCTGCTGTTGATGCTGACGCTCCGATACTTGGACGCGGCATTGAAGGCAAAGCTACCATTAGTAGCGCTGCTGCTCGCGTTGCCAATGGTCGCGGCGTGTCTGAACAGCTCCGCCCCCTCTTGCGCATCTCTGCTACCACCCGCAGATTCCCCGCCCCGCCTTCGCCCCTTCCGCCCGCTCCGCGGCAGCGGAGCGAGCGCGCCTGTCCCCTCCCCCCTGTCCTCTTCCCCCGCCCTCGCCCCGACCCCGCGCCTCGCCCCCCAAGGGTTCCGCTTATCGCTCCCCCGCCCTTCCCCGTGGTAGGTCAGCGGGCCCGTGTCCGTCTCTGGAGGACTTTCCACTCCGCCAGTGGCGCGAATTGCGCCTCCGCTCAGGTCCCCGCTCGCGCTCCTTCCCGCACGCCTCGTTCCGCGGGGAGTTAGCTTCCCCTCATTCCCAGCCCCTGCCACGGGTTTGGTCTCCGCTGCCCCATCCGCTGCCCCATCCGCCCCCCTCCCCGCCCCCCCTTCTGCCCCGCTGACCGCCACGCGCAGCTGCAGCGGCTGCCGCTTCCGTCCATCGGCGGAAGTGGCGGCGTCCGCGATGGGGGGAAGTGCAATGGCGGCGGCGGGCGAGGTAGACGCGTTTGCGGGGACGGCAGATGTGCAGACTGGCGACTCGGCAACTGCGTTACTAGCGGATTCGCTAGCGGATATGACCATAATAACGAAGAGCGCTATGGCGAGGATAACCGTTGAAATTGCGGTGATGTCGGATGGCGATGCTGAGGTGGCAATTACGTGTCAAGATTCATGCGGTCGTCGCAAAGTCGCCTCAGCAGTCTCCGATAAAATGCCCACATTGTCCCTCCATTCTTTTCTATCCTAAATAACAGCTGCTTGACATATCTCGAATGGGGCAAGCAGCTTCAAGTGAACTTGAGCCAGGTTGAAACTGCTAAGTGGATTGCCCTCATCACCGAGTCGCACGAAGCTTGATGAACTAGACTAAGTTGCACTGAATGCATGACAGTTGGCAGTTGATTCCCTTTGTACGGTTTGATCTGGTGCGCAATGGTGAAGTACGATAACTCACACTCTATAGACATCTTACCATTCACCGCTTTCAACCGCTGCGAACTAGCCAGAAAACATGAAACCCCAGCTTTTGTGGCAATCGAACGCTGGTGGGCCACAGAAGGTGCTGTGTGTAAAAAGGACAAGGGCAACACGTGGGGCTTGCTGAGCCTAATCTGTCTGCATCCCCGTCGAGCCTGTCCGACAGTCCTTTCCGAGCCTACAAACAGAGGTGCTTTGAATTGCATCACGAAAAACGATGACGTCTAGTTGGAAGTGGGGAATGCGGGAGCGGATAGCGGTGTGTTGCGGTGGGGAGGCGAGAGAGGTGAGGGGAGGAGGGAAGGTGTGATCGTGCAAGGAAGTGTGCCCAGTACACGTAATGCAAGTACAGTGCTGGACTCGATACTAATTTCAGGTCCTTTTAGTGAATGTGTACAGTAACAAAACCGATTTACTAGGACTGACAGATCGGTAAGTGCTGTAGTTAGCTCAACAAAATGCATCATTTCCCTGTGAGAGTCTTCTTGTATTGCTGCGTTACCCAGCCCCACCGCTGTGCGGCATTTTCCCTCACAACCCGTGACACGAAGCCACTGAATCTGCTGAGGATAGACGAATAAGGCATCGTGGTGTTGCCACAGAGCCCCTGTATCGGCTCCGATACGATCCATGGGAGCAGCTTGCAAAAGATGGCGCGGAGAATGAGATCCATCATGTATAAGAACTGCTCAAACAATAAAATCTCCACACGTGATAACGAATTAGCTTACGACACAAACGAACCACGCGTTTAACACGAAAGAAGAACCACCTATTGGCGCAACATGTTGAAACGTACAGTGTGGAAGGTATTGACAGGCGCTGCAGCATCTGAAAGCTCCACCAATGCGTGTCCTTCTACAACCTATAGCACCAGCATTATGGCACATAAGAGAGTTGTTACAGTCTCAATTGACGCTCATGCACTAAGGGAAGCCCACAGAGCCCATGGCCATGTGATAGGTGTGGGAGCATTGAACTGAAGAGCAAGAGAGCAAGATAGGTGGGAGCACGGACCTGGAGAGCGGAATAAGTAGAGAGAATATCTGTAAGGCCTGCCCTCAGCTTCTCAACCTCTGGCAACTTGAAGCTGTCGCATCCATCCCCACCATGAGCAGCAGCACCACCATCCCCGCCACCATCCTTGCAACCAGCAGCACCATAAACCCCCCTTTCCCCCTGCTTTGATAGCGGGCGGGGAACCCTGTCGTGCTCAGATACCGCCTCCCCCAGCAGCAGCCTGCCCAGCACAAGCGCGTCTGTGATGGAGGCGTTGCAGCCCTGGCCGAGAGAGGGCAGAGTGGAGTGGGCCGCATCGCCTACTAGGGCCACCTGGGCACTTTCGTCGTGGTACCGCCAGCACTTCACCTGGTGGAGGGGGGTTGGGCGGGGCCGGGAGTGGGGGGCAGGAGATTGGGCCGGCAGCGTGGCGTGACCTGGATCGCCTATGAGAGCCACCTGGTGCAAGCGTCGTGGTAGCACCTCATTGGGGGATGGGTAGGGGGACCGGGGGGGGGAGGCGAGCAGGGAGCGCATGTGTGACGGAGGAATTGAAGCCGTGCCCCACGGAGGGGAGCGTGGAGTGGAGTGGGCTGCATCCCTTATCAGGGCATCATGATACATACATGATCTGCTTCAGCAAGGGGCGTGAGTGAGTAAGAGGGAGTGAGTGAGAGAGGAGAGTGAGACAGGCAGTGACAGACAGAGCGAGAAAAGAGGTAAAGGGGCAGAGGGCGAGAAAGGAAGAGTGACCCACCTGCATGCTGGTCCGTGGCTTCTGCTTCAGCAGATTCCACGCAGCTTCCTCGGGAACATTCAGCCAGGGCAATCTCTCATCGAGGTACCGCTTGGCAGCAGCCGGGGAGGCGAGGGAGAGCCAGTCCAGGGGCGGGTCCGTGGACTTCCACCCCCACACCAGACACATCTCGCCGCCCACCTGCGGCATTGCCACCACACCGATGTTTTTTGTGTTGGGGACCTGTTGAAGTGGGTGAGTGAGACGGGAGAAAGACGTGGGAGAGAGAGGTGGGAGTGAAAGGTGGGAGTGAGAGGGCAGTGGGAGAGGAATTAAGAGAAATTCAACTGCAGGGTGAGAGAGGGAGGGGATTTTTCAGCATAGAATAGCGAGAGAGAAGCCTAAACCCTAAACCTTGCCCGGAAACGAGACACATACCCTGGCAGCAAAGCCATTCCTGAGCCGTCTCAGAAACGCACCTTGGCAGCAAAGAAGAGCGAGGAGGGCGTGAGGGAGGGCGGCACAGGCATGTTAACGACTGTCCAGTCGTGATACACGCGGTCGGTGTGCACAGGGAAGTCCCATGTGCGGGCAGCCAGGAGGTTGCGCACATAGGAGCGCACCCCGTCCGCCCCCACCTGATGGGGAAAGGAGAGTACGGGGGGTGGTAAGCAGCGACAAGAGGCGGCACAGGCACGTTGACGACTGTCCAGTCATAATAAACGCGGTCGGTGTGGACCGGGAAGTCCCACGTGGTGTGTGCTGCTAGCAGGTTGCACACATAGGATGGCACCCCGTCCGCCCCCACCTGATGGGGAACAGAGAGAAGAGGGAAGGGGGGCAGGGAGAAGAGGGGTCACGAGCACATTGACGACTGTCCAGTCGTGATACACGCGGTCGGTGTGCACGGGGAAATCCCATGTGCGTGCTGCCAGGAGGTTGCGCACATACGAGCGCACCCCGTCCGCCCCCACCTGATGGGAAAGGGAGAGAAACAGCAGGGGAGGCGTGGAGTGGGGCATAGGCAGGTTGAGAAACTTCATTCCATTTCCCGCTCTCTCTCTCACTTCCTCCCATCCATCTTCCACTCACTCACTCACTCACTCACTCACCAGAAGGTCATATTTGATCTGAACGTTCTCGAAATCACTGCCACCACCCCCATTGCTGCTGTCACCACTGCTGCTGCTGGTGCTGCCGCTGCTACCACTGTTGTTGCTGTCTTCACAGCCCCTGCTGCAAGGCACGGAAGCCGTGACCACATGGCCCTTCATATCCACATCCACAATCCTTGACTCAAAATACACCGTCACGTGTTTGCTCAGGTGTTTCTTCAGGTGTTTCTTCAGGTGTTTCTGCTCCTCAACACTAGCCTTCTCCTTATCCGCATCAGAAGTCCCTTCACCTGCGGTTCCAGGTTTGTCCCCCTTAGTGGCTCTCTCGATAAGCGCGTCAAGCAGAGAAGCACACAGGTCCGTGCGAGAGACGAAGCCTTGAGGGGGGTCCTGGAAACAAGGAGAGACCAGCCACAGGCAGAGGCAGAGGAGGGGCAGTGGGTGGGGAAGAATGGGCGGAGAAGGGAAACGGGGGCTTTAAGCTCTCGCACTTGAATTAAACAGAATGAAACAATCTGGAGAGATCAACACAGGAAACGTTTTTGGGAGCCACAAAAGCTTTACTACCAGGGGCATTAGAGCCTACCTTGGGCATTAAAGCCTACCTCGGGCACTAAAGCCTACCTTGGGCATTGAGAATCTGACGAGGCGGCCGAAGGCAGGCATGACCATCTCGTGCGGATTCACCAGCACTGGCTGCACCTGCACACGTGGCGGGATGCAATTGGGTGGAGAGCAAGTTTCAGGGGGGCTTATTGAAAGCTGGATCGACCATGTAATGGGAATTTGCCAGCACTTGCTGCATTTGCACACTTGGCGGGGTGCAATTGGATGGAAGAGGTTCAGGTGGTCTTACTATTAGCTAGCTGCTCCTGCCGGCGTGGGGATGGGATATGCCATGGAAGGAAGAATAGGGAGAATAATGAAAAGATCGTCAGGAAGAGGGTATTGTGACAAATGTGTGATCCCACACACCACACACCTCACCCACAACACCCCCCACCCGCCACACACCCTCACCCAGCACACACCTGACTCTGTAACCCACCTTGTCCATAACCCCCGGAATGGCCATCAGGCAGTGCATCCCGCGAATGCTCAGCCCCATGGCGTACCTGCCGCCATTCACGGGGAACATGGGAGAAGGAGGGGGGCGGGGAGGGGAAGTTCTGAGAAGGCTCAGAAGAACTTGGCTTGTTATTTTAGGCGGGGGCTGATATGGGGGATACGACGAGCGGAAAGGGGAATGAAGACTAGCGCTTAGGGGAACAAGGCATTCCGGGCAAAGCTGCTCATATTTTACATTTTCTTATTGCCCCACCCACTTCCCGTCTCCCACCCTCCTCTGCCCCCACCTTTCCTCCCTTTCCTTCCCCTCTTTCGCCGCCTCCCCCCCTCCCTTTCCCCTTCCCGCTTTCCCCTTCCCCCCTTCCCCACTACCCTTCCCCTCCCCCCCACGCCCCCCCCCCCCCCCTCCCTCCCCACTCTCCTGTCCCCCCCCCCTCACCGGCGCGCGATCTCCGCCGCCTCTTCGACCTCCGCGCGCGGATCCTCGCCCTTCTCGATCACGCTGACGTGGAACCTGCCGCCGCCACGTGCCAGCAGGTAATTCGCCAGCGCCAGTCCCGCCGGCCCCGCGCCGACAATCACCACGCGGAACACGTCAGCGCCCTCCGCTTCCCCCGAGACGGCGCGCGCGCCGCCGTCGGCGCAAAGCGGATCGCTGGGGCATTCGCGTACCGCGCTCATCATCGCTCACTCGAACTAAGAAGTTTTTAGTCGAAGTTCACGGGCAGGTGATCAGCTGACGCGGCACGAAAGCCCAACGCTTTCAAAGCGCGACGAAACACGGGCGGACCAACAAAATTTCCGTGCCCGCAGGCAATGGGGGAGCCTGTGGAGATAGACTCACACGCGCCGCCGCCAATCCCACTGTCACTGAATTATGCTTCGGCTCTTCACGGAGCAGTTTGTTCTTTCATGTCATGGAGTTCCCAAGGTGGTGGCGAAACCGCGCCTATCAGTCGCCGCTGAACGCACAGTCATCCGAGCCAAGCCTTGCGCTCTGGCAGCAGGGGGAGCAGCTGAGAGCCGTACGTTGTGTGATGGCATGGCACCATCTGAATGGCATGGCATGACCCCGAAGTTAGGGTAATTACCTTCTGGGTAACCAACATCGAAGCCGCTGACGTCAGAAGTCACCTACGTGGCTCGATGGTACCCGTCAGATCATGCGCGCCCCTTCGTGGTACCCATCTTCCCTCCGTGGTACCCATCTTCCCTGCGTGGTACCCATCAACTGTGCGCGAATTCCCTGACTGGTACCGCAACATTTCAACCGAGCTGTACACTGTACAACAAGGGTTTCAATGCGTTTTTCAGTATATTGTCTTAACGTTTACAAGCTCAATAGAGTCACAAGCCCGAAGTGCCACCTGATCGAGTCAATTTATCACACCCATTACCTATAATAAAGTGTAGAAGAAAAGCTGGATTCTTAAATAAAATAGCATTCATTGGGTAGATTTGTTTAGGCTAAGAAACATCGACAATATAACGTGCTATAAGATAACGTAAAACTGATATATTGCATCAACCGAAAAAAAAACATCCGTATAGCAAACAATCAACTTACACGTAAAGTATATATTGACTTAAGAACAGATTCGGTTCGGACCGTTCGTTTGGCTCGGCTCAGCACCTCACATCATTCTTGAAAGCAGTGTGGTGCTGTGCCGAATCAGCACATGGCAATTACCCATTGGCCATCCATTTGGTACAATCATTTGTACGCTCCAAGCGCTAATTCTTTTGAGGGTACCAGTTTCACTGTATACATTTTTTTTTCACTGTATACAGCGTCCACATTTTCTTTCTATTCCAGCTTTTGCCTACAGGCCATGAGTCATCCATGTGAATTCATCCCAGTTAGCAGATAAAGCAACGCCATAATCATGGCGTCCGTGAGTTTAGCCGCAGCTTCCGCGGCCTCAACAGCCGCACTCTCCAACGTGAAGAAGCGGGTTCTCTTAAGCAGCAGAGACAATGCCTGCAATCCCGCATTCGTCGCTCATGTCGATCGTACCCTGAATTTCCCCCCGCTTAGAATAACGCCGCGCCGCGTCGCTGGCCAGGTGTCCGCGTCAGCCGATCGGACGGTCGTCGCGGCCGCCACGTCACCGGCCGGACAAACGTCAATCAGAGCGCTCGTTTTCGACTGCGACGGGGTGATTCTCGAGTCGGAGGACCTCCATCGGCGCGCTTACAACGCGGCGTTCGCGCATTTCGCGATTCGGTGCCCGGGTGAAAACGCGGTCGTTGATTGGACGACGGAGTTTTACGACGTGCTGCAGAATAAGATTGGCGGCGGGAAACCCAAGATGCGATGGTGTGTGCGCCTGACTGAATTTAGCCTAGTAATAGCCTAGATGCAACTCTCCACCACCGCTTCCATACCCCGTGTCACATGTCCCCATACCATCCCATTACATACCATTTCATCCCATTTCAGCCCATTCATTACATGACATTCCGCTCTATTCCATGGTATGCTGACATCAAATTCATGCCTGAAAATCACCACACTATGTGCAGGTACTTCAACAAGAATGGGTGGCCGCATTCGTCGTTTCTGACCACCCCTCCAGCAACAGATGCTGACAAGGACTTGCTTATAGACACGCTGCAGGTGATACCTGGTATAGGTGCAGGTGATACCTGGTGCAGGTGATACCTGGTGCATACAGACAATGTGACTGTATGGAGACAGTCAGGTACTGCTGATGCAGCCTCATTCCTGTTCCCATCACCCCCTGAGTGCCCTCACTCCTTTCTCTACTTCTTACTTCCCCAGCCACATCTCACCGCCTTCCGCTTGCCCCACTTGTTCCCCTTGCTCCGTGTGTCTCCTCCGCCAATGCACTTTTGCCCCTACCAGAGTGACTCGCAAGCCGACTCAGAAGCCTCATCTCACTGTGTGCCCCTCTTTCCCTCGTGTCTCTCTCTGCGTCCCTCCGTGCTCCCACCACACGTGCTCCCACCACACGTGCTCCCACCACACGTGCTCCCACCCCATGTGCTCCTACCAGGATTGGAAGACCGACAAATACCAACAGATGATTGGGTCGGGGCAGGTGAGCAGATGATTGGGTCAAACTGTCCGGGCAGGTGCATGCATGATTGATGTCAGATTTATTGAACCAAGGTAAAAATCCTCTATTTAGTTCTGACAGGTGGTTTGGTTACTCTGAGCGGCTCTAATCACACCACAGGTGCGCTCATGACCAACTCGTGATTGTCTCGCTCTTCCCTCCTGCCCGCTGAACTACCTCCATTCCGTTCCTCCTCTGCCTTTCCCCTTACCCCCCCTCCCACACGTGCCAGTGCGGCCAGGAGTGTGAGAGCCGATGGATGAAGCCACGCAGGGCAGAGCTGCACTCTACTTTCGGTCCCCTCTCCTTCCTCCTCTTCCTCCTCCCGCAACCCCTCCCGCAGGTGCCAGTGCGACCAGGAGTGGTGGAGTTGATGGATGAAGCGAGACAGAGGGTACGTGGAGGGGGTGGGGGATAGGGAGGAAGGAAACGCATGTGTGGGGTGCGGGTGAAGGGGAGGAGGGGAAGCACGTGAGGGGGAGGAGGGGAAGGACGTGGGGGCGAGGAAAGGAAGCACATGATGGGGAGGGTGGGAGGGTTAATCTGCCGAGGCGAGATGGGATCCTTCTTGGGTTGACCCTTGACCCTCCCTGTTTGCCCCGCTCTGTGATTCACTCACTTCCTTCCACTCCCGCCCACATATCCCCGTGCCACTTTCATGCATCCCCCATCCATCCGACTTTCGAGACGTCCGAAAATCCATCCGTCCGCCCCACTCTGCCCCTCCCCCTCTCCTTGCTCAATGCTCTTTGCCTGCCAACCCCCCCTTCCCTCCCCCCTCCTTCCTCCTCCCTCCACCCTCCCTCCCCCCTCTTCCCCCCTCCTCCCCCCCCTCCACATCTTTCAGGGTCTGGTGGCGGTGTGTTCTGCAGCCACCAGAGCGCAGCCGTCGCTTGAGTCAACTCAATGATCTAACCCCCCTCCCTCCCCTTTCCCCCCTCTTCCCCCCCTCCTCCCCCCGGCACTCTCAGGGTCTGCTAGTGGCGGTGTGTTCTTCTGCTACCAAGAGCTCAGTCGTCTATTGAGTCGACTCAATACTCTGCTCCCCTCTCTCTCCCCACTCCCCCACCTCTCCGCCCCCATTCCCACCCTCCCCCCCACTCCCCCCGCACGCTCAGGGTCTGCTGGTGGCGGTGTGTTCTGCGGCCACCAAGAGCTCAGTCATTTTCACTCTCACCAGCCTGCTGGGGAAGGTACTGCGCACCAACCACCTCCCACCGCCCTCTTTTTGTTTTTTATCCAAGCCATCCCATCTATCTCACTTTCTCTTGCTATCCCTAAGTCCTAAGCCAGGAGCCTTCATTCTTTGCCTCTGTGTCACTCTCGCACTTTTTCCACTCAACACACTTCTTTCCCCTTTCCCTGCCCTCCCTCTCTCTTGCTCTCCCCCCCTACTCTCTCGCCCCGTCCCCCTTCCTCCCCTGTTCTTCCTTCTCCTTCAATCTCCCCTGCTCCCCACTCCCCTGCTCGCTCCCTCCTGCTTGCTTACCCCTCCTGCTCTCTCTCCCCTCTCCCGCCTGCGACCTGCGTGCAACCGACAGGAGAGGTTTGAGCGGCTGGATTGCTTCTTGGCAGGTGGGCTTCCTCCCCCTGCCCTGCATCTTCTTCCTTGCCCTTTGCTGCCCATCTGCTTCCTTTGCCTGCCTTTGCTGCCCATTTCACTTCCTGATCTTTTTCCCACCCCCAAGCGTTCTGGAAACGCCTGAGGGGTCATCGCACTCACATTTGTCGCCGCGAAACCTCTCCATCCTTCCACCCTGCTCGCCCTTCCTCCCCCCCCGCTGCTCTGCCATGTGTCTGCCCTGCCACCAGGTGACGACGTTCCAAAGAAGAAGCCAGACCCAACCATCTATAAGATTGCAGCCCAGGTGAACCCAGCTTGCATGAGAGCAATGCGCTGCTCTTCTACCCTCTCAGCGCCTGGGAGTGCCCCCCTCATCGTGCCTGGTGATTGAGGAGTTTGTCATTGTAACGAGGTGACTTTTGAGTCGACTCAAAAATTGCCCCTCATCGTGCCGGGTGGTGGAGGACAGTGAAATTGGCCTGCAGGCGTCCTGCCTCTCAATGCTCATACCCCCCTCTCGTTGCTCCCACATTGCTCACTCGGTGCTCACATCACCCATGCTCGCTCCTCTCAGCGCCTGGGAGTGCCCCCCTCATCGTGCCTGGTGGTGGAGGAGTGTGTCATTGTAACGAGGTGACTTTTGAGTCGACTCAAAAATTGCCCCTCATCGTGCCGGGTGGTGGAGGACAGTGAAATTGGCCTGCAGGCGTCCTGCCTCTCAATGCTCATACCCCCCTCTCGTTGCTCCCACATTGCTCACTCGGTGCTCACATCACCCATGCTCGCTCCTCTCAGCGCCTGGGAGTCCCCCCCTCATCGTGCCTGGTGGTGGAGGACAATGTGATTGGCCTGCAGGCTGCTGGCCTCTCATCATACTCCCCGCTCATTGCTCATTCCCCCCTTTCGCTCCCTCTCAGCGCCTGGGAGTCCCCCCCTCATCGTGCCTGGTGGTGGAGGACAGTGTGATTGGCCTGCAGGCTGCTCTGGGTGCCGGCATGCCATGTGTCATCACCTACACACCGTCCACCAAGAGCCAGGTCAGCCTAGTGCTCTTTTCTCTTCTTCACCTCTGGATGCTCTGATACGGTATGTGTTAACAGTTACACACTACTCGCCCAGAGTCAGGTCAGCCTCTCTCTCAGCTTGTGTTAAGTGGATTGTGTACCAACGGTCACATGCTCCTCTTCGTCTGTTTCTGTGTTCAGTAATTCAGGTTTGTGTTGCATGCACTATCCTGTATAAATAGTGTGCTTCAATTTGCACAAATTCTGCCCTCTCTTCAACCCCCCCCCCCCCCCCCCCTCCCGCCCCTTGGTAGGATTTCAATGGGGCTGTAACGGCGTTTGATGATCTCGGTGGAGTTTCTTTGGATAAGCTCATTACTGCATGCTCTGCTGTTGTGGCCTGAAAGTACAACTACCATACCATATCAAAATTAGTACAATACATCTGGTGTGGCCGCGTTTACCATCTGCACACCAGTAACTAACAAGCTATGCTGAAGCATGGATATCATTAGGAACTAGATGTTGAGCTGGGTGAATGTACATAAAAGCAGGTTGATGGTGCAGTGTACTACCACATGCAGGGGGACATTCAAGATGAGGACCCACCATCAGATACCTTGAGCGCCAGTGGTTGCACCGCAAACACTCCGCTTGCCCTCCCCCCAGGGGCCACAATGGTTCCGCAGTAAGACTCTGGGAAAGTCATCAGCCCCCTGAAAACATCAGCTACAGTCATGCCTGCCTCTGCAGCAACGCTCCCTGCATCATAGCACCACCCGGATGAAATGTATTTATAGAGCAGTCCCATCCTCTTCGTATTGCCTTGCTTTTTCCAACCAAGGTCGAACGGAGGACTATTTGTTACATTAGACCAAGTCTTTGACGGGAAATTAACCACCGGAGCGTTAGAACTGGCAGTGACAATGCCAGCAGCGGTCGGGAACCCCTGAATGCTCAGTCCGGTCAAGCGGAGCGAGTAACGAATGTTCACGCTGGTGGAATTGCGGAAAACGAACACGCGGATGACACCGCTGATATCGTCAATGCCTCGCAGTCTTGCCTCCACATGACCTGTCGCAAAAAGAGTTGAATGTTCGTCAGGGAAAGCTCAATAAGTAGCGGTTTAGAGATGGCACCACGCGTTAATTGTGACGGCCAGTGGCGCTTACCCTCGTAGCTTCCAACGTGTAATGCATTTCTTGTTCGTCCTGGGTTGATTATTCCTGTTGGTGTCTGGGGACTATTTAACTTAGCAGCAGCATCGTCCAGCACGCGTAACCCCTCTGCAAGGACACAAACGGAGTTACCGAAATTAATGCGAGGTCTCTAGTAAGAACGCGGATTTGGTGGAGTGGCTCTGATAACTTTTAGGTTCGGACATATATCTTGGTACTCGGTCGTTGAATCCTTTCTCACCTGCGATGGATGCATACAGCACGAGGAACAACCCGAAGGCGAAACGAGGTGTCCGCAGCCTCATGATAGATGGTAGTTTGTAGTTTGTAACGTGAAGGTCGAAAGAGGAGTTAATGAAATCGAGCAGGCAGATTAGCAGTAAAAGCGTCTAGATAACCTTCGAATGCTCGAACATGAATGCTAAATCCGTCCGGCACGGGTCTCCAGCCATCAAGAGCGCAGTTGCCGCTAGAGTACGGGCCACCTTCTTGGTATCATGGAGCCATGCCACACAGCAGCTCTGGAACGCGCAGAATGCGCTATGACCAGTCAGATGCTTGTCATGGATTGTTGGCGACTGGGTGATTTGCGAAGTAGTCGCTTCTCTGAGAACGCAATCCACGAGAACTTTCCAATGAGAGATTTGGAAATACAAATGGGTAATAAGTCTTTGAAATATACCCAAAACGGTACTAAACGGTTTAAGTTTATCGTGGTATTATTGCGCTTTGGTGGATCGCGTCATGAGCTTCCACCACCAGGTCTGAAATTGCTTGACTGTCGCACAATTGGCAGCTTCGAGTATTATTGGCGACCACACAACCCCCAACGAGCATTTTTCCACGGTCTGCGAATGGTTTGACTGGCAGCTGTGAATTTTGCCGTGGCCAATTTGTTGTCCACGACGGTTTGTGGAGCTCGCAGGTATGTAACCAGCGGGAGGATTTGCTGGTTGCGACGACTAGTGGTGACCTTGCAAAGCGATTATTTCGTGAGCTACGACCCATCAAACGGTGATTTAGCAATGGATGGTTACCGCCGTCCAGGAAGGTGACCTTTTTGTGGTGTGCACATGGAGGCAAAACGCTCAACCAGGGCTGAAGTTAAGATTTTCGCCAACTCGGACGTTTTTGCTCCCTCACAAAAATGCCCTGAAAACGCAGGGTCAGCCGGAAAAACGCTCGGATAAACCAGAGCTGGACTAAAAATTCCTCGTTTGCGTGATTCGATTGTTCCGCGGTAATGGCTACTTCTGACAAAAGCTTATGTTCAAACTGTGTGTTGGTGCACTTGTCCTGCTTTCGTGTGGATCTCTACTCGCCTCCGAATTTGACTAAGGAACAGAGGGGCAGGAGGGAAACATTCATAGAAGTCCAGGAAGAGGGGGAGAAGTTTGCTTGTGATGAAGGGGAGGGGGCGAGGTTGGGGGTGGTTAGAGCCCTAGAAAAAAGTTCCGAGTCCTTCGAGGGAATACTCGGCTCTATCAGAGTCAGTCCTGGAAGAGCTCGGATTCAGTCAGGGCTGGCAGAAAAAAATCCCTGTAAAAAACCGAGTTCGGCTAAAAAACACCTTGGATTTTCAGTCAAGAACGAGCATTTACCCTGATAGCCTGAACCATGTGCTCGACCGCCATTGTTATCCTCGGTGGAGTGCACTCGATAAGTATTTAACAAAGGCTCGTTATCTTCACCATAATAAACATGGTAATGTGTGCAGTGAGCCCTATTTGTCCATGTTGGTCGATTCCTGGAAGATATTTGAAGCATGAACAGCACTAAGAGAGAAGCTCTAATCGAGCTGCCTACAATATACAAAGCAGCGTGTGTTCCGTGCAGTGAAGTCTTCAAGATAAGATGTCATCACGAGACACCTTATATGCCAGTGGTTGCACCCTGAACACACCCCTTGCCCTCACAATGGTCCCATAATAAGATTCCGGGAAAGCCATAAGTTCCCCAATGACATCAGCGACGGTCTTTCCTGCCCCCGCGACAACTCTCTCTGAATTATAGCACCATCCAGATGATGTGTACTTATAGAGCAGGCCAATCCTCCTCACATCCCCCTGCTTTATCCAGCCAAGGTCGAAGGGAGGACTAGTTGTCACACTGAACCAAGTAATTGACGGGAAATAAACCACGGGACCAGTAGACCTATCAGGGAAGATCCCAGCAGCGGACGGGAAACCTTGGACGTTTAATCTGGTCAAGCGGAGCGAGTAGCGAATGTTCACGCTGGTGGTATTGCGGAAAACGATCACGCGAATCATGCCCCTGATATTGTTATTGCCTCGCCTCCGCATGACCTGCCATGAAACCGGTTTCAATTCTCGTGAAGGAAATGAGAAAACGCGCGATTCCGCCAGGCGCGTCGTTCGGATAGAAAGGAGTTACCACTCACGTCGTGCGTAGCTGTGATGATAGCATCAAGCGTTGGCAATGGTCAGTGGAGCTTACCTTGGTAACTTCCATGTAAATCTCTTAATCGGGCTTGCCTTGATCGTGCTGTCGGTATCTCAAGACCACTGAACTTAGCAGCGGCATCATCCAGCACGCGTAGGCCCTCTGAAACGTCACAATGTGTATTGGCGAAGTTAATGCGAGGTCTTTGAACATGCAGATAGGGACTTGGCGGGTAGCTACGAAGACACCTGGACACGAGCTTCGATAAAGACATCTTATTCGTCCTCACATGTTATGGATGCGTAAACGACGAGCAACAACCAGAAGGCGAAACAAGGTGTCTGAAGCCTCATGATAGACAGTCTTCTCTAACGGGAAGGTGGAAGATACAGTCAATCAACTGGAAGTGGCAGATAAGCGTTGAAAGGGGTGGCAGATAAGCAACGAAAGTGATTGCCGCTCAAATGATCGAACAGAGCTTGTTAAACTTGTCCGACGAAAGGCTTTCCGCCATCGGACAGCGCGATTGCCGCTCGAGTCCTAGCCACCTCTTGTTACCATCCAGCCATGCCGCGCTGCAGCTCTGAAACCCGTACAATGCGCCATAACCAGCTTCGATGCTTGCTCCCATACTCTTGTCGACGTCTGGAAGCTTTCATGCGACGCGAGTCGCAGACTCTGAGTTGTTGCCACCACGGGTCTCCTCATATGCGTGCCTGTCGCACAACCGGCAGCCATTACGAGTCCGACAACCACCATGACAGGAAACACCTTCCCACCGTCCATGAGGATTGACTGGTAATCGTGAAGTTTGATGTGAACAATTTCTCTTTGACGGTTTGTAGGCCTCCAAGGCATGTTACAAGCGCAACCAAGCCTTCGCAGACAAGCGACGGATTATGAGCTCATGAGCGATGACGGGTACAACGACGATTAAGGGGGCAAGCATGGTAACCGCCGTTGAGGAAACTGGCCGAAGTGGTGCACGTGCAGCCAAAACAGGCGGCGTTGGAAACACACGCAGCAATGCGGTGTGTGTGTGGGGGGGGAGGGAATTTGGCATCACGCACAAGAAGCAGTAGGGGGAAAGACGGTGCGTCGGATCCCTCAGCGTGCCCGGCTGGGGGTCCTCGATGGACTCTTCTGTGTTTTGAAACGACTGTAGAGCTGACCCAAGGACGAAGCTGCCACACTCTTTCTCTTGGCCTTCCCACGCCTCCTCCTAGGCCTGCCGACCAAACCGGGGATGGGTCAGAGGGCATTGATTATGGAGCATATAACGGCGTTCTGGGAGGGGAGATGGCGTGAGCTGTTCGACTCTGCCATGCTTGCAGCGCGCCCGGCAGTTCGTCCCTTAACATATACTTCCTCCAACCAAGACCCTGACGCCATCAACCTTGCTCGTTGTCGGACTAGATGCAAAGTGGGGGAGTGGAGTCGTGGGTTGGCCTGCCTCACGGCAGGGGAGTTGGCTCGGCCGTCTGAGGCTATGGTGCAGACATTGTGGGGGAAGCATCCCACCAGCGTGGGCAAAATACCGGAGTGGGTCCATACCTTCGACATCGACACTCCTCAGCGACCAGTGCTCACGGACGACACACTGGCTAGGGCTATTCACACAGCTGCTCGCGCTTCCGCTGCAGGGCCGCCAGGGTGGCTTACGGAGCACTTGCGGGACACATTCCTCACAGAACCGACCAGCCTGGTTCATCTGCTCGAGGTATTCAACCAATAGGTTGCAGGGCAGGTTCCCGAGCGGGCACGGCCCTGGCTTGCTGCTTCTAACCTGGTTGGGCTGTCTAAGCCCAACGGCGATGTCAGGC